TGTAAATATATATATCATATATATATATATATATATATATATATATATGTATACATATATATGTATATATAGATATATGTATAAATATGTAAGGAGGGCCCCCCCAACTGCCCCGAGCACAGCCCCGCTAGAGACATTTAACACGATATACAATTCACCGTTGAAGGCAATTAATATTAAACATGATAACAAAAATTAAAATAAAATAAAATAAAATAAAATAAAATAAAATAAAATAAAATAGGATAAAATAAAATAATATAAATAAAAAAATAAAATAAAATAAAATAAAATAAAATAAAATAAAATAAAATAAAATAAAATAAAATAAAATAAAATAAAATATAAAAAAAACAAATAGTAGGAATGATCGCTTAAGAAGACAGCTGAGGTGTCGATACACCCGAGACCCCGGCTGCGGTGATACCGTACTGGTGCTCTTTCTGAGTGTAAATTAAATGAAATAAATTAAAATAATAAATTTTAATTTATTTTATTTATTTTATTTGTTTTATTTGTTAATTTCTGCGGTAAAAATCAGTGGTTTGGGGTTCTGGCTGCCGCTCGTGCAGCACACGCGCGAGCGAGCTGCCTATACACCCCAAGAGGGGCCCATGCTGCTGCGGCCTGCTTAGTACAGCACAAACCCAACAAAATAAAATATTAAACGGCAGTATAAGTCTCTTTTCAAGCATTGCTGCTGCTGCTGCTGCTGCTCCAGTTGCTGCTGCTGCTGCTGCTGCTGCTGCTGCTGAGGCGGTGTCCCTCGGGCGCCGGTGAGCGTCTCTGGCGCAGCAGCAGCAGCAGCAGCAGCAGCAGCCACGCTAGCCTGTGTGTGTATGAAGTTTTTGTTTGTAATATTTTAATTTTAAATTATATTTGTCTTTGTCTTTGTCTTGGTTTGCCTGTCGTTTGTCTCCTCGTATCTGCGGGCCCTAACAACCCCCCGGGGTTGAGGGCCCATGGAGAAGCAGCAGGAGACAGCAGGAGACACCCAGCTGCACTGCATGCTGCAGCAGCAGCAGCAGCAGCAGCAAGAACTTGCTGCTCGCGTCTTCGCAGCAGCCGCTCAGCAGCAGCTCCTGCTGCGGCTCCTGCTGCAGCAGCAGCAGCAGCTGCTGCTGCTGCTGCTGTAGACAGAGATACCTTCTGGCCTGATACGTACAGCAGAGTGCCTCACTATGGGATGTTTGGGGTCTGTAGGGGCCCCTGGGCCCTGCAAGAAGCGGCGAGTGTG